AACGAATTGCCATGGACACCTAAATGAAAACTCGATATAGATGAAATGAAGAAGACAAGATTAAGGTTTTATGACGGTTTTGATACAAAACATTCTTGATTTTCTGGTTACAGTGAAATTCCATTTCGAAGTTAAACTCGTAAACAGTAAATGGTTTACCAATTTATTGGAAATAGCAAGTCATTCTCGAATTGTGTTCGCGGTTAGAGAGATAGATTCCCGCAACGCTTTCACTTCCTTTTCTTCTATCGCATCTTCATTTCCTAAATCTTTGTCCATGTAAAGTAATAAATAAAAATAGCGAAATACAGCATTTCTATTTGAGAAATAATAGCTCGATTGCGGCTCAACAAGTAGAACCAACGCAAGTGTTAAACAATCAAAAAATTGATTAAAAAGTTCTAGAGAACTAGTACTACTGTTTGTGGTGAGAGTGTTGATGATATTAAAATCAACCGAGAAATGAATCATTGGGAGCTATTGCCATTGAAGAACGTTTGTATTTTGCCAACACTATTATTGGACTATACCATAATTTCGAATTATCTAATTTCGTCTGTGTCACATCATAGCCATATGTGCCAGAAAAACGTAACGTGGTAATAAACCATTTGCCGTAGAAAAGGTTGAATTATGCTTATCGAACCAATGCTCTTTTGCTTCTTCAAATTAAGAGTCGATGATAATTTATATAAAGGATTTAAAGTTTCTGACAAATTAGGAATGAATCTATGGTAGAAATTTTTCCTGTGTAAACTTTTTAATGAAACTGGTTTTGGAAAATCAGAAATAGCTTTAAATCTTGAATCTGAGGGTCAAATACCTTCGGAAGAAACATACCAAAAATACATGTTTAGGATGGATATTTATGCCAACTTCATCTTTAAATATACTTACTTTTTATATACAAATAAATAATCGAGTCCTGTTAGTAGTTCGTTAATGAAGCACTGGAAAGTGTGAGCAGCATTTCGAATAAGAATATTTCGATAAACAGGAATTTGATGGTATTGCTCGTATTAGATCTAACTTTGAAAAAATCTTACATCCATGCAAGTAGAGATTGAAATCTTGAATATGGTGTAGTCATATGTGGTCCAGGACCATAACTAAATTTAACTGGGGATAATCAACGCAAGGTCGCCAACCATTAGAACTCTTTTTAGGGACCATATGTAGAGGTGAAGTTGTTGAAGAAGAGGAAGGTCATAATTCTCTTCCCCACTTAAATGGAGAAATGTTGGATCAGCTTATAAACACATCTTTCAGAAAACGTTAAAGTAAAATAAGAAATTATGCATATTCGAAATGGAATAAGAAGTGTGAATACGGAACAGTAACAAAATTCTTTTTAGCCAGTGTCAATTCGGAAGTAATCTAATTCTTGTTTTAGAATTTTGATTGTTTTGCATGTAGGTCTTAATCATATGTATTATGTAGATATATTTTCTTGTGATCCGTTTTGCCACTATTTATCATATTTTTTCATAAAAGCGAGTAATTATTAAATTAGTTGCGTTAAAGACTTTGACCAACGAGAATCAATTAATAAACATAATCTAAATTGTTAATTTTGTTGAAAACGAAATCACGTTTTATGAGAAATCGCACGTTAGTATTCATAGTACAGTAATTTATTACATTGAATTACAACTTACAAATTAATTGCTTATATTTTATGAAAAGGTATGTTGATTAGTGTAAAATCAAGATTCTTTTGCTAATATTAAAATATCTAAATTATATTTTACCATAAACTCTAAATTAATGGTTTTGGATAAACATGTTTATTAAAACTGGATCTGTTTTGCAAAATCTAACGTTATTCCGTTAGATAAACAAATTGCAGTAATTATCACTTTTCGTGTATGATATACAAATAGTATGTTGTATATCATATGTTAAACAAGAAAGAAAATAAAGGGGAACCTTGATAAAAACCTTGTAAATAAATGAGTGAATGGAAATCACATACTGTTCTTGATTTTTATTAAAAAATCTGTTTTTTTAATTCCACTGCATCGAAGCAAAGCAAAAAAGAAATCGCTCGCGACAAAACTCTCATCATCAAATACATAATAACATCATCAAATCAGCAAAAAACTCACTTCTCACACTTCATTTCATTTATAATGAATGTAGGTTACGTGAAAATTGTGTACGGAATTGGTGGTACCGTACCTTTCTCGAAATTGAATGAGGCCCCCGTAGAAAGTTTCAGGTGGTATCCCACGTGTTCTTCTTCCCTTCCATCTCTACACCGGAAAATAAAGGTCGTCGTTGCGTTGTAATGATGCAGTCTTAGTTAATGAACACTCACTACGAAATTACCAAAACAAAACTAACCCAATGATTTATTTCAAAAATAGACAGAAATTTTTTTTATGCTTCTTTGATTTTTATGTAACGATGTAATTGGGGAGAATACAAAAAATAGTATACAAGTTCGTTTTTAGTGCAGTGTTTCGTGAAAAGTAGACCGATGAGCGTCGCGACGTATTTTCTCGGTGGCGCCGTCGTCGGTTCAACAACCCTGCTCACCGGCAAGCAAAGTCGAACTGAGTGAAGCGGCGCGGCGGCGACTCCAAAGTTTGCTGGAATCCGACGACGATGGACCCAAATGGGCCACGTGCTATAGCACTTTCAGCGCTTGCGTGTTCAATTCAACAGTTCAATTCAAGATTCAGGAAAAAATAAAATCCTACTAAGAATAAGTCCTAATATCTCATTTTTATTTATGAGTACCTTCATATATGGTATGAAGAAATTATACAATATAATAAATTGCTTATTATTTACAAAAACATCATATCAAATCATGTCATTATACGACTATGTGTGCTATTTAAGTGATTACTCTTAGTAATGATACTGCATAATATTGAATTTGCCATCAAACAATCAAGCTTTCTAACAATGTATATATCTTTTATGTATCTGTATAGATAACGAAGATAACGAAGATGAAATAATACGGAAAAAGTTTGTAATTGATTGATTTGTTGCTATCTAACTCAGGAACTAAAAAACATATCCAAGTTTTTGATATCAAACAACAAACTTAATGTCATTCTGTCAACTTGGAGGAAGCAGAAATATATGGAAAGAAACTAGCTTTAATAAAGATAATAACTATATGTATTTTCGATCCGGCGATATTTGCGTAACGTTTCTATTTCGAGTTTGTGCTTTCTTATACAACACTGTTATTCTTTCCTATTACGCTTATACAGTTAGAAAATGAAATGTGCACCACAAAGAAAACAAATTTTTAGAAGATAAGCTGGGTTTACAAATTTATTTCCAATTTAGTATTGGACTAAATATTTGTATATTAGCGCATCTGCAAATAAATTGTCTGTAGTATGTTATGTCTCAGGTTCGTATAAAAGTCATTGCGAATTCAGTCAGCAGAAGACAAATTTGCTCACATAAAATGCAGTAAAAATTACGCACCTGCGCCGTACCTAACGATTAATGGGCATCTGGTAGCATTCAGAGGTTTACACATACTCCTGAAATAAGAACAAGGGCAGCGAGCTGTAAAGCAAATTGATTTTTGTTGAAAAAAATGTAACCGTGTTATTACACACGCACTTAACAGATTATGTTAATCGAATATTGAATAGTGTGAACAATCTTATACGCAAATAAGTAATTATCGTACAATACCGACAAACATTATATATATATGGAACTAATTATGAATTGTTATTTTATGGTTCATTATGAATAATTTGTATACTAGATGTGTTTCAACAGCGGTTTTAGTGTTTGAGTTGTGATTTTAATAACGAAAATCAACAATTTTTATTTGTAATAAAATCACTATTTCTAACTAAAAATATATTACAGTTATTCTTTTCCCTATTGCATTTGGTAAGCTTAATTTAGTTATGTATTATGTTTTTTTGGTTTATTATAAACAATTTATGCAATGAATGTATAGAATCAACAAGTAGATTATAAGAATATTAATTGACACATTAGATGGGGAACATCCCTTCTTTTTGGGTGCACTTTGGTCTCAATAACGTTTAACTGAACGACAATATTTTCCATCCATACAAGATCTCTCTTGCTGGATGAATTCATAAAAACGTCAAGACGAGCAGGGTCTACAAAATGGGTGATCAAAAATTTGTGATCCTCTCTTATGCTGATGACGTTGTTCTCTTTGCTGAAAACGAGAATGATCTACAGAAAAACCTACAAGCATTTAACAAGATAGCGAAACAATTCAACATGTCCATTGCTGTTCGAAAAACTAAATTCATGACAACAGCGAAAGAGGCACTTTGAAGTAAGCTGGAAGTGAACCAGACCATAATAGAGCAGGTCATTATATTCAAGTACATGGAAGTTGAACTATCAAATTACGATAATATTGAAGAGGAAGTATACCAACAAGGAAAGTCAATAAAATCGCATGCTGCTTAAACGGCATTTTCTGGAGGAACAAATATTAACACAAAATCGAGAATATATAAGAGCACCATAAGACCTATACAGCTGAGACTAGACCTGACACGTGTAAAACAAAATTGGAAACAGCAGAAATGAAGATACTTTGCAGAATCACCGATAAAACTTTATATAGATAGAGAAAGAAGCGAAGACATAAGAACATTATTTGGAGTGGAAAATATCACCAGATCTCACTCAATTATCTCCATTTTCTAGTTAGATAGTGGAAATGCGCAAAATATCAAAATTGACGATTTTCATTACTAAAGCCCATTATAACTCAAAAACTAAAGATTATGGAAAGAAATATTTTGTACATAAATTGTTTATTATGGATCAAAACAACATAATTCATAACTAGATCTTACTCAATTATCTCCATATTCTAGATAGAAACTGGAAATGCGCAAAATTGACGATTTTCATTACTACAGCCCATCATAATTCATCTCTTCCAAAACTGCAGATATTAAGCTTCTTTTGCTTATACTGCAAGGATTTCGATGAATCTAATTACAAATCTTGTTTTTCAGGTTTGGAGATGTGTCCTAGCCTCCTCAAGCAAGTAATGTCATCATGTGTAACTCTTTTTGTGGGGATATTTGAATGATAAAATATATCAACACAAAACCCTTGATAAGCATAACTTGAAGGCAGCGATTCGTAGAGAGATGAAATTGATCATAGAACTGTAACAAGTGTGATGGAGCTTTAAGGACAAATTAAAGGTAAGAGTGATATCTCCTCATTTTACCTCTTCAAATATGTTAGATATTCAGACTTTTCAAAAGGAAGATCTGACAAATTTTCTCAAAAATGGTTTCAGCTCTTATGCGACATTAAAACATTGAACATCAAAACGACTGGAAACTTTTAATTAATTAGAAACCTTAGGGAGAAAATATTGAATTTCATTTCTATTTGAATATTAATTAATGCATAAATATTAATATAATAAATATTAAATACATATAGCGAATATCGTATTTATCACAATTCTATCGATTATTTAGACATTAAACGACTGTTTATCACAATTTGGGTTTCCTATCGGATGAATGAACTTGCTTAGCGAAAATGATGCTCCATGGTTATTTCTAATGCTATTTGCATTATAATATTGAATCATGCATGACATTGCATGATGGAACATGAAATTCATTTAAAAAAATGTAAAATTTCTGCACACATTATTATTTTTAGTTGTAACCATATCTATTTTATCAAATCTTTTACATGACTATAAACGATGCTTATTTCGAATAGATACTGCATAAAACTGGATTTGTTATCATATCGCATGACCATTAGAAGATGTTGTTTGGGTAATGGTATGAATATCAAGTTAATGTTTCGATGAAGCTAGTTCCAGCAACACCACGGTATCTTTTTAGCATAAGGGAATGCGCACATAGTACACAGCAAGTATTGAGAAATTTGCTTATCTGGTGCCAGAGGAAAACGACGGTACGTGAAATAATGCCGTCACGACTCCACACTCGGACTGGGACATTGATTTTTGCCTTCTATTTATAGTACAAGCGAGAGCTTGGATAACCGTACTTAGCATATTTTAATCGTTACGATACTATTAGAGACCTTGTTGGCGTACTTGTTTTTGCTTGATCGTTTCGTGGAATTATCAAAATTGTTTAAACGAATCTAATAAGGTGACGTGATTAATTGGCCTTTCTAAATTTTTGAAATTAATGTTTTCTCTAATTGCTATTTAGAGTATATAACCTTCGGTAAAATTGCTAACAGAGATTCCTTTTAGCTGTTAACAAGCTCGCAAACCTGCGTTTGGATTTAAAAGCTCACGTCTACACTGTCGACATCGTCCATTTATAGATTCTAAGTGGTACTATAAAAATGTTTTACCAGGATCTGGTGTCTTTTTTCGCCGATATATGTCTACTACTCTTACGACATTATACTGAACCTTTTAAGGAAAATTGTCCTATTTGGTAATCTATGGAAATCTAATCAAATCGAACAAATTTGAAATACAAATAAAACTCATCAATATGTATATCTTTTAAAATCTCATCCATATAACGCAAAAATACTCTATCTATCTCACTTTAACGTGACATATGGTTCTCCTATATTTGCTTCAATGATTGAAATATAACTCTGTAATCATTGTCAGTCACGTTGATTGATAACAGAGATAATTAACGTCATTTAAATACCAGTCCGGTCAATTAACCCTTCGTTTCGGTCGACCATAAAAGGGGGTTGAGTATCTGTATCAACGAAAAAGCTAAAACGATAATGAACAAAGCGTGTTTTTGCTTCAATTAAAATTTCCGACAATTAAACATAAGATCAATATACTTTTCTGTTGTGCACACATTTTAATGCAAATAATCGGACCACCCTGCCAACCGTAATCTGCGCCCTATTGCTCTCAAAATATTTAGACCCCAATTAAGTTGATTATGAGAGAGTAGCCGTCGGTACATCCGGCGGGCGAAAAAGGACCGTCCATAGAGATTTCGGGCGTATCCTTGAGTTAATCGACGAGCCGCCTACGTGTCAGGTGAGGTTCGAAGGAGGTAAATCGAAAAATAATCCGGTTCGTGGCGGGCTGAGAATGATGATGATGGTAATTGTGAAAAAATCGAATGGAACCAATCGTCGCCGTGAGACAATCACTTTTCTTGGTGTTGCTGGCGGAAAGTTTCACCTTTTGTTGATTATAACAAAAGAAACTATTGAAAGCATGGAAAATTTTCGATTGTTTGGGATTAATTCAAGTGGAAAAATGGTATTTTTAGTTGCTACTTAATAAGTTTATTGGTAAATTTGATTAATAGAAAGTGTAATTTGATAATAAAATAAGAGAAAGCTTCCCCATTTTGAGTAGAGTGGGATGTATTATAATATAAAATAACTGTACATCTACTTAAAATATTAGACCAATCCCACATTCCGTTACTTATATTCAAAGTATGACTCATAAAGACTTTAATAACATTTACAAGTTTTAACTTAATGTAGTTCAAATAAAAGGAAAGGTCCTAAACAAATCTTCTCGATCATAAACCGTTGCTAGTGATGGCCATTACGCAGTAACTGGAATATCTCTCCGAACCCATTATAAATAGCATCCGCGTCGAATTAAGCGTGCGTCCGGAATTTACGTTTCCTCTCCGGACCGATCTAAATAGTTTGAATTTATGCCGGTTACGAGGATAGCAACCGGTTCACTCGAAGAAGACGACGTGGCTCTCGTCCGTACGCCGTTTTAACAACGTTTACAAGACGGCGGACCTCAAGAAGGGAAAGAGACCGACAACGATAAAACACGTGGGTAGCGGCAAGCGGAGAAGAGATGCCTTTTGACTCTCTCTCGGCAAACGTGTATTGCAAATTAGCACCGACCGAAGACGACGACGAAGTCTCTTCTCCACCTCTTTCTTTACATTCTCCTCCTGCTTCATTCTTCTTTGACTTTTACCTACTCTTCGAATCCGCACACATCCTTTCCTTCTTCTCAGATCGTTTATGAGCTATCGCTCACCGCGGGTACACCACGGTAATGGCGGATTTAGCGTGATGCTAATGACGGCCAACCTTCAGCTCTTTCAATATAATCCTTCGATATACCATCATACTTTCTGACTGTCTGACCGTCTTTATGAATACCGATATTTTGTTTTTGGTTTAGTTGTTTCTTTTTGTATTTTGATGACATACAGCGAAGTTCAAACTGCAATTGAAATGTTTCTATTGATGAAAAAGGGGAGATAAAGTGAAAGACGTTCCTGCGGTACTGGAGCAGAATTTGGGAGGGATTAACGAAAGAGGTGGGAGGTGAGCAAGAACTTTGCTGTGTTGAAGATGATACAAATTAGTTTAAAGCGATTTAAATGCCTCAAAAAACAGTGCTTACATTTTAATGATAATTACAACCAACCTAAAAGGAAACATTTAAACTGTGATAAGCTATGCAAGATAAGTCTTTTACTAGACATCCGCAGAGACTACTTCAATAAACTCCTTCAAGAAGAACATTAATATGTTGATGAGCAAATAATTGTGATCAAAGGAACATTTATTTTGATAACTGGTTTACGTCAGCAAGCCTTTTGGTTGTGTTGAAGGAAATGGGAATTTTTGCAACAAGTACTGTACTTAAAATTCAATCAGTTGCTAAAAAACGGTAAAAAGGTTCTTATGGTATGAAATTCATAATCATTCATAATCTTGTATGTCTAAAGTGATTTAACAATAAACCTTACCGAAAAATTTGTGTCTTAGGCGGCCTCTGGAGACGCATTCACCTTTGAGGTACTTTTGATTACCTGTTTTAAGTGGCTCTTTTGTAGCCCATAACCGGGTTGGAGTCCAATAAGGGGTGTTTTCGCTGCCTCTTTGGCCAGCTTATCCGGCTTTTCATTGCCCTCAATGTCTCTGTGTCCTGAAACCCACCATAGAGTAACATCATTGCCCCTAGCGAGTCCTCTCAGGTTGCTGATACACTCTCTAATCAGTGCAGTCACACGTGTAGGCCTGAATTGCCTTTAGGACGGCCCGACTGTCTGTGAAAATGTTTATGGATGCACCTTTCTGTCTACAAAGTTAATCACAACTCTAGAAAGTAGTACATAAAAATTTTCTGTTTGTTTACAGAAAACATCTAATAAAATTTGAACTAAAAATTGCTGATGATTTTCTCCAATTGATATCTTCTACAGTTTCAATCCAAAGAAAAAGAAGTCGACCGTCCAACGTAGAAAGAAATTACCCGATATCTACACGTGGTAGTTCTCCAGAACCAATAAAATAGAGACTACCTTATACAACGCCAATAATAATCCATACATCGTCAATAAATGTGACCCAGTTACCGACAAAACAAGCTCATTGGGAAATAGAACTATCAAGAAGGACAGTAGGTAGAATTCATTAATCACATCGTAGCTATAAACTTAACCCTCAGCCTGATTGGAATATGGCACTACAAAACCCACAAGAAAATAGCAGCACAATTGGCGAACTAGGAATCTGGAACAATCGTCTGCCTCATTCCAAGGGGGGAGGGATTAACACCTTGGACGGGAATAGGAATTCGAGGAAACTCCTCACTCTATATATGTATATTTAAGTGTGATATAAATATTAAGGTGTTTCCTTCATTATGTCTCTACTTGAATATTTGTTGTGAAAAAAGAATCGTCAGCCATGAATCCTCATGATTCAAAACAGGGAAGCAGGTAATTAAAATGAAACGGCTTCCAACAGAAGCTTAATTAACAACCGGGTTGGAAGCTATGTAATCAGGTTAATGAACGACTTTCGCATGCTATATTTGTATATGGCTCTGGAGCCATCTAGGAATGTACTGTACTCATTATATCGTCCTCGTTACATATTCTATAAATGTATATCTTCATAATCCTTATAAATCTTAGATAATCTTAGGTATTTATGGAGGTAACAATTATTAAACTTGTAACTATTTTTAACTAGTTTCTGTAAACATTTTCTTGCCTTAATAGGGATTTTATTCTGAGTCACTTGTTGTTCTTGTTATCCTATTCATTTGGCGCCTTCGCCATTCACACATCGTCTGAGTATGTTTCTCTCACCTTCGCATATTAAAAGATTTTAATCTTAAAGTATACCGTTCCAGATGAAATCATATCAAATTAAAATCGCATCTTGTAAAGTAATCGACGCCACGCCGCAAAATGTAAAATTGCCGTTCCATCTCGAT